CTGTTGCTGGGGTCAAAATGAGAGACGTTGCTTTATCAAGCCAGTGCACTGATGTATGGAACATATGGTGATTGAGCTATAAAATGAGAGATTAGACCCAAATGATTGTTTTCATCTAATTCTATATGTTTATGAGAAGTGTGTTTATTTGGCAAAGCATGATTTCTTTAGGTGGAAGAGAATGTGGAAGCATTTTTGGAGAAAGAAATGAGCAGGAATGTTCTCGTTTCCCAAGCTGCTTGAAAACATAGTGATTGGAGCACAGTGGTCAATCCAGAGTAAAATTCGGGCATACGGTGGTACCTCAGCCACAATAGGAAACAGGACTCAACTGGTTTAAGCAATAAGAAACATAAAAAGAAATCCAGATGGCATGCCGGCTCCAGGGTTGGTAGATTCAGAAGTTGAGTGATGCCACCAGGGGCCCAAGTTCTTTCTCTTCTTCTGTGTCCCCACCCTCAGCGTGACAATTTTGCCCTTGGGTTGGCCCTGCTCTGAGTCACAAGGTGGTTGCAATAATTCCAGTCACCACTTCTAGATATGATGTCCAGGACACCTTTTGGAGCGAAGAAATCTTTGTAGAAGCCACTTGGCAGATTTTGCCTATGTTATTGGCCAGAACTGAGTCACACGTTTATTCCAGTACCGATTGTTAGCAAGGGGAAGGGTGTACGTGATTAGTGTACAGCGATCAGATTCTGTCAAGGCTGGGTTGAGCTGATTGCTCCCTGATCACATGAGAAGAGCTATCACCAGAAATGCCCACTACTACTTCTGCATAGAAGAACCAGCTTCATTCTTACTGTTCTAAACTTATTTCTTTTCCAGTCCATCAGAATTACATTGGGAATGATGCAGAAAAGAGCCCCTTCTTTTTGTCTGTGACCCTCTCTGATCCGAACAATCAGCGTGTCCCTCAATACCGTGCTATTCTTTGGCGGAAAACAGTAAGTAACTTTGTCTTGCGTTTGGCGTTTCATCGTCCTTCCAACGTTTGAGTAGCATTGTTGTCAGGATGGCTTAGGTAAGCCTTTCTTTTTTTCTTTTTTTTAATCGTTTTATTAGGAGCTCGTACAACTCTTATCACAATCCATACATACATCAATTGTGTAAAGCACATTTGTACATTCATTGCCCTCATCATTCTCAAAACATTTTCTCTCCACTTAAGCCCCTGGCATCAGGTCCTCATCCCCCCCCTCCCCCCTGCCTCATGAGCCCTTGATAATTTATAAATTATTATTTTGTCATATCTTGCCCTGTCCGATGTCTCCCTTCACCCACTTTTCTGTTTTCCATCCCCCAGGGAGGAGGTCACATATAGTTCCTTGTAATCGGTTCCCTCTTTCCTACCCACTCTCCCTCTACCCTTCCTGTTTCGCCACTCACACCACTGGTCCTGAAGGGATCATCCGCCCTGGATTCCCTGTGTTTCTAGTTCCTATCTGTACCAGTGTACATCCTCTGGTCTAGCCAGACTTGCAAGGGAGAATTCAGATTGTGGTAGTGGGGCAGGGAGGAAGTATTTAGGAACCAGAGGAAAGTTGTATTATTCATCGTTGCTACATCGCACCCTGTCTGGCTCGTCTCTTCCTCGAGACCCCTCTGCAAGGGGATCTCCAGTGGCCTACAAATGGGCTTTGGGTCTCCACTCCGCACTCCCCCCATTATTCACTATGGTAAGATTTTTTGTACTGATGATGCCTTATACCTGAGCTTGAGCTAGATGACCGCTTGTTTACCTTCAAGCTTTTAAGACCCCAGATGCTATATCTTTTGATAGCCGGGCACCATCAGCTTTCTTCACCACATTTTCTTATTCACCCGCTTTGTCTTCAGCGGTTGTGTTGGGAAGGTGAGCATCATAGAATGCCAATTTAATAGAAGAAAGTATTCTTGCATTGAGGGAGTACTTGAGTGGATGCCCAATGTCCTTCTGCTACCTTAATGCTAAACCTATAAATATAGGCACATAGATCTATTTCCCCATCTCATATATAAATATATTTGCATATGTACATGTCTTTATCTAGACCTCTATAAATGCCCTTTGCCTCCCAGCTGGCTGGGAGGCATAGGTAAGCCTTTCTATGGAGCTCTTTGAGTTCAGATATTCCAAGATTGTAAGTGCTGTTCAGAGGTGGATCCTTCAAACCTAATTCACAGCAACTTTCTCTTTTCACGGAACCAATCAGACATCTCAGATTGAAGACGTCGGTAGAACTCTTCGATGTCTGCACCACTAGCTTTAACAGTTAATGCATAAATTTGAAGAATAGTTGTATTGACTGGATTTCCTGTGTGCAGATAGATGTGGTCCTATCACAGACAGCATCGTACCTCAAGACCAGCAGGTATCATCGTAATAAATGGAGAAAAGATTGAAGTTGTCTAGGATCTTGTCTTGCTTTGACCCACAATCAACGCTCATGGAAGCAGCAGTCAAGAGATCAAACAAGGCATTACATTGGGTAAATCTGCTGCGCACAACCTCTTTAAAGTGCTGAGAAGCAAGGATGTAGCCCTTGGAGGACTAAGATGTGCCAAACCCAAGCTATGTTACTTTCAAATGTCTCTTATGCATGTGGCAGTTGGACATTGAATTAGAAAGACTAAAGAGGGATCAATGTGGTGGCAATGAGTATTGAAAGCACTATGAACTGCCGGAAGAACCAACAGACTCGTGTTGGAAGAACTGCTCCTTAGAGGCAAGGATGGCGAGACTTTGTCTCACGTGCTTGGCCATGTTATCAGAGGAGACCAGTCCCTGGAGAAGGACATCCTGTTTGGTAAAGTCGAGGACGGTATAAAAAGGAAGAAGATCCTTGACAAGATGGATTGACCTAGTGGCTTCCATGATGGGCTCAAATAAGAACTGTGAAGATGGCACAGAGCCAGGTGGTATTTCATTCTGTTGTACGTAGGATCCCTATGAGTGGGACCTGATTCTCGACAGCAGCCAACAACAACAACAACAATAATCAGACATATACAGGTCCCTCGATATCTGGCCTTTGGAAATACAGAGCTATAATTTATAAAGGATGTCAGTTCATAAACCTGGTTGTTGGTATTAAGTGCTCTTGAGTTGTTTTTGAGGCATAGCAACCTTAGGCATAACGGAATGAGACATTGCCCAGATGTACACCATCCTCATAACCATTGCTGAATTTGAACACCATGTTGTAGTCGCTGGATCACTCCATCTCCTTAAGGGTCTTTCTCTTGTTCAATAATCCTCACTTCACCAAGCATGATGTCCTTCTCCAGGGTTGGATCATTCCTGAAAACATGTCCAAAATATGTGAGACATGCTGTCTGTACTTGTCCCAAGACAGATTTGCTTGTTCTTTGGGCCACATTTTATGTTCCATATTCATCACCAACACCACAATTCAAAACCATCAACTCTGCCTCCATAGCCCATCTTCATTATCTAGCTCTTGAATATATCAATTGAGGCAATTGAAAAATACCATGGCTTGGATCAGGCATACCTTAGTCCTCAAAATAACATCTTTGCTCCTTAATACTATAAAGAGGTCTTCTTGACTGCTATGTCTATGAGCATTGATTATCGATCCAAGTAAGATGAAATTTTTGACATCTTTCACCTTTCTCTGTTTATCATGATGTTATCTTTTGGTCCAATTGTGAGGATTTTTGTTTCTTTGTGTTCTTTATACTGCGCTGTAATTCATATGGAAGGCTGTAGTCTTTTATATTTATTCATCAGTAAGTACTTAACGTCCTCTTTGCTTTCAGCAAAAAAATGTTGTGTCGGCTGCATATTGCAGGTTGTTAACGAGCCTTTTTTGAATCCTAATGCGGTTTTCTTCTTCATATGGTCCAGTTCCTCAGATTATTTTCTCGGAATACCTATTGAGTAAGTACGGTGAAAGGCTACAACCGTGGCGCACACCTGTCCTGATTTTAAACCATACATTACCCCTTGTTCTATTCAAATGACTGCCTCCTGGTCTGTATAAGCTCTACGTGAGAACAAGAATTGTTCTGGAATTTCCATTCTTATCAGTGTTATCCATAGTTTGTTATGATCCACACAGTCGAATGCCTTGACATAGTCAATAAAACACAAGTAAATGTATTTTTGGTATTCTCTGCTTCCAGCTAAGCTCCATCTGACGTCAGCAATAATATCCCTATGCCATGTCCTCTTCTGAATCTGACTTGAATTTCTGGCAGCTCTGTGTCGATGTACTGCTGCAACTATTTCCAATTATCTTCTGCAAAATGTTACTTGCATGTGATATTTAGATAATGTCCTCATTCTATTGAGTGACCTTTCCTTTGAAAGATCACAGAAGTAAATCTCTTCCAGTCAGTTGCCCAGGTGGCTGTCTTTGAAGTTCTTTGTATAGAGAATTGCTTCCAGCATGGCATCTTAGTTTGTTGAAGCATTTCTATTGGGATTCCATCAACTCCTGGAACCTTAATTTTTGCTAATGCCTTCAGTGACTCTTGAACATCTTCCTTCAGTACCATGGGTTCTTACTCAGTTGCTCCCTCCTGAAGTGGGCGAACACCAGCCAATTCTTTTTGGTTCAGTCACTCAATGTATTCCTTCCATCACCTTTTGATACTTCCTGCATCGTTCAACATTTTGCCTATAGAATCTTTCGATATTGAGACGCAAGGCTTGAATATTTTTCTTCAGTTCTTTCGGCTTGAGAAATGCCAGACATATGCTTGTCTTTGGGCTTTCTTGCGCTAGGTCTTTGCAGCTTCACTTAGTGCTTTCTTGGTCTTCTCACGCTGCCCTTGGCAACCCTCTGTTCAACTTTCTTACTGCCTTCCTTGCGTTTGCTTTAGCTACCCCAGATCATGTTTTGGAGTTTCTTCTGATATCCATCGTGGTCATTATCTTTAGCTGTTTCTAATAACAAAATAGATAAACAGGCGCTTGTCAACTAAAAGAAACACAACGTATGAGAAGATCAGTGACTTGCTATGAGTCAGAGAACGCATCCCATGTGGTGTCTTAAGTCCGTGAGCGACTCAAACAGTCCATCGGTGTTCCTGGAGTTTGCTTTCCCGTTAGCGCCTTTGATCCAGGCTGCAGGAGAGCAGAGCAACTCCAGACTCAGCAAGACAACTGCTCTGCCTCCAGGTGGCTCTGAACATTGAGTGTGGGTCAATGAGTTGATAGAAAGACCTTCCCACCGAGCTTCCTTCGGCTAGTAAAGTTTTCTTTTGCTTCTTTTCCTCTTTTCTGAACTCTCTTTCTAGTAATCCTCATATCAATCTCTGACTTTCATCTTTCCTTGTTATATTCCTCTCTTGGTATGCCCCCTCCTTCCCCCTGCCG